CCCCCCCCCTTTACCCCCCACACTCAAAATCCTGTATCCTCCCCTGTGACTAACTGTAATGCTGACTAAAGAAAACGATGGTTTTATTGTCTACAGAATTATTTCCTGGACAGATGGAATCTGTTTGATTTCGTAGTGGTCGTGGGTAGTGTAGTTGACATCACCATGAACGAAGTATCGGTAAGTCAGTCACATTAACAGTCTTCCTCTTCCTTGTCGTCTCTCAAAAAAAATTCACTTCTGCAGGTCTTCGCCCAGTTTTATCCCTAACAAGGGTTAAATCGATTTGTTAAGTTGTGACGTATTTCCGGTTCCAATTGCTCACAAAAACCGCTAAAATCAACCGAAAAACAATTAGAACTTTGGATAGCAAATCTTGTCATGAAGTAAAAGCAATACGACTGGTTTTTGTATTGGACCCGAAGTCGTTTTTCCATACGATTGACGTCACGCTTAAAAGTCTATATAGAGCTCTTGCATTGATTTCCTATAGGAATCGTTCTGGGGGACAAAACAGTAGGCCGTTTTTTCTTATGCAAAAACATCCATTGTTTTGTCCCTTAGAACAATTCCTCTCGTGACTCATTGCAAGGGGTCTATTTTTTGGACTTACGATTTTAAAAAAAACGTTTTAATGGTAGCAGGGCTGAAAGACGTGTTTAATGCATTCACAAGATGATAACACCGGGAAGGAAACTGGCTCAGCGGGAATATACGATTTATAACTTGCGTCGATCGAGGTCCAGCGCTGCTTGACTATATAAAATTCACTATAAAGGCTTGTTAAAAATGATAAGACAAAACAGTAAATAACGAATTACCCGGGATAGTAAGGTGTGGCATTCTACTCAAGATAATTGAAATAACTCTTGTTAACTGATAAACTAAATCAATAATGCAATAATTAGTTTGAAATATGTTTTAGATAAGAGGCAACCATTATAAAACGTATTATTAGTGTCCTAAAAAATCAAGTCATTTACTTGGCGTAATTTCTATTTTTTTTCTATTTGTAGCATCAGCCTGTTGTTCCCACCTTGTCATCTGTTTGTATTTCGTTTCTGTTGCTGATAATTTTTTTAAACTCTAAACACACTAGGGGATATGTAGCATGGACGTGTTTTAGGGAAACAACTGTCGTATGCATATTCTATTTTATAAAAAAACTCAATACTGCATACAAACAATAGTCCCCTTCACAGTTCCCTCCGCCATCTTGAAAGATAGCCGTGCCTTTGCATCGAAGCGTTATGCAGTACAAAATCACCATCCAGTGAGTAGGCCTTTGACAGTGTGTACTGTACGAGCTGTCCTTGACTGCCTGTCAGTTAACTGATCCATACCCCCTAGTGTGACGTTTAACAGCCAATCAATATCCTTTCAAGTCATTTAATACATGATATTGTCTTGTAGCCGGACAGGTATAGTGGAATGGCCATAGGAGGGCCAAAGAGGGACGACGACTACAGCAGGAATTCAAAAATACATAAATTCGTAAGACTTATTAAACTCTAACAATTAAATAATCACTTTATCACTTCTTAATCTCTCTTTTAAAGGCTTGATCTCCTATTAAATACATGAGAATAATTGGTTAATTTTGATATAAGTGCACTAAACTTTTAAATAATCGAGATCAAAAATTAACAATTTTTCACCAAAGTACCTGCGCTATCTAGTTTATAAATGCTAAGTTTGAATCTAAATTTCTCAACTCACTAGTCGGGCCGCACTTGAAAAAGCTTTGAAATTAAAATATCCCTAAAGAGTTTTAAAGCGAGTTAAATTTCTGCAAAATATTGTTTCATGCCTCAAATCTCGCGGTAGTTGACCAAGGTTGGCCAACGTCCTATTCAAATTGTTTAGTCATAAATAATATATGGGTCATTTTTGACGAAGCTCGCTTTATGAGAACACGAATGTAATGATTATGACAACAACCGACACGCAACAAGCTGTGAACGTATTGTCGATGCTTATGCTTGGGCGGTTGTTGTAAGCGAGGGCCTTAGAAGCTGTTTACATCAAGGTAGTGTGTATCTTATGCTAGGGAACTCTTCTGCTTTTGCTGTCCCTAGCACAATTGCCATTTACGCGAATGGCCCTTATAGCAGTTTTCGTATGACAGTGAAAAGCTCGCGGCACGAACGCGGTCGTGACACAGCAAGGCGTAGGCCAGGCCAATCACATTGCATGAGAATTTACTCTCCATCCAATCAAATACCCAAAACACGGCACGAATATGGTGCGGGACACTGTCGGACCAATCAAATTGCGAAAAAAAATCAGCCAATCAAAA